ACATGGAGACAACGCTGTTTTGTGGTCACACACGCACACACGCTGCGTATGGGTGATATATACGTATGCTGTAGTTGGGCTTGGGCTGCGGCTTAGCCTTTAAACTGTGTGTGCACACACATTATTAGTTTAGGTACGTCTGGACTTGGGTCACTGCTACGATTAACCGTAATAGGCGTCAATTGGAAAATTGCCAGTGATATCTGCGGCCGAGCCAAAGTCTGAGACATATTGTTGAGAGGTTACTAATAGATATATATATATCTATATAAACATATATATAAATGCTTATATGTATACCTATGCAATATGTGCATGATTGCGTATTTATAGAGCACTTGCCTAGGTCTCAGTTAAGTCTAACTGACAGACAATCTCTCAAGCAAGGTGCTATTCGGGTACTATATATCTACAGTAGATGTGCCTTTAGATAAGATGAACTTATGTGCGCTAGGACTTTAGTTATAAACTATGCTTTAAATCTAATGCCAAATTCTCTAAATCTAAACAGATTGCTTGATGAGAAATAAAAACTTGACTGCATAAAATATTTAATAAATTTAAAAAAAAATTGTATTTACTTTTTTACAGTTTTAATCATATTTTAAGCATATAGAAAAATTAATTAATTCTTACAAAAACTAAAAACATATAAAAATGTTGTACTTACAGGTGAACTGTTGGTGTATCAGCGCAAAGGGTACGTAAAAGTTTTTTTCTTTAACTAAAGTTAATTGATTGCTTGACCTAATCAGTTATGTCTATACAAAAAGTCTGAACCAAAGTCCCACAGTTTTATATTGAATATAAATTACTTTTGAAATGCTTTACGAGTATTAGTTCCTAATTTTTTTTACCAGTGTACATTATCTCTCAAATATCTCTCATAGCTCTGATACCCTAGCAAAAGTCAGTGAAGCTCCTCACTGTCACTTTTCACTCAGCTTCTCTGATTTATTTGGTGCTGGCTTCCAGCCTTATGTAAATATTTGATGACATTTGTACAACCCGCCCCCTTCGTACCCCTTTCTTTCTTTCCGTGTAGCTCATTGAAAATTCCATTTATTTTTGGGGCAACGCAAAAGGAAGGAAGAACAAGAAGTAGAATACGACGAATGCTGTGAATTTGCATTGCTTTTGGCATTGATTTGCCCCTTGGCCACACTAGCTGTGGGCGTGGCGTCAGCTGCGGTCTTCTTTTTATATATTTCTCTTGTTTAAAACTTTCGTAAATCATGGCGCAATTGTCTTAATTCGAAAATTGCAGCTTCGCAGCTGTAGACAAATTGTGGCCATGCACGAGCACGCATCTGGCAATGATAATGTCGTATCTGTAGCTCAATTTGTAAATGTATCTGTATCTGCGTATTTGTATCTGTATCTCTAACTGTATCTACATGAGCGACAGCTGCGACATCGTGTTTGCTTATCTGCGTGCACATCGCAGCAAACGTTTAAAGCACAAATTTAGCTTGGCTTTCACTGTGTAAGACATGTGACAGGCGCTTGACGCTTGACCTTTGACCCTGAGCACCAACCCGGCCGGCCGGCCCGCTAGCTTGCGTGCCCCAGACCAATAACAGCAAAAATTACCGCTGCATAATTCATTCGACGCATCGCCAAGCGGCATTAAAGCCCAGCCACATTTTGCTGCTTTAATTGGCTTTAAACTTTTATTATTATTAATGTTATTAGTTAATTGCATTTTATGTTTTTTTTTGTTTTTTTTTTCTTGCTATACATATATAAAAACAATACGGGATTATTTGTTGTATAGCTTTGAATAATTTGATTATGCGTTGTCTTTTGTCATGTGATTAAGCCGCAGAGCTGTTGACTGAAATAGGCGTCTATTAAACCAGTTGTCGTTTACGTTTGCGTACAACAACAATTAAAACAACAACAACAGCCAGCACAACAACCACAGCTTAGACAGTCTGGCAGCATCCGAGCCCAGATCACGTGCGGTTTGTTTGTCTCACAAGCTGCGGCTGTCACTCTTTACTTAAAATACAGCACAAAACGCAATGTGAAATCAAGCAAAAAGTCGAACCTAAGTTACCTCGCACTAAGTTCATTTTGGCTATGTTAAATTTAAGATAAAGATTTAAAAAAGTCAAGAATAGCTAAAAACTTGTTGTTATGGGTATCTTTGAGTTGATCATGTCATAAACCAATTTTTGTGTTACTTATGTCAAATTTATAGCAATATCTATTAAATACATTGGCATATAAAGTATCTTTCAGTCGATCAACATGGCTTTTGTGCCATAAGACTTAAGTAAATTAACTTTTGTCAAATTTTCAACATATTTTGGTTGAGATAGCAACAATTTCTATTAAATATGCGCTTTTAACTAAATGAGACTTAGCAGGTATCTGTTAGTCGAGCATATTTTCTTGCTTTTTTATAAGCCTGAGCTGAACTGGCATTCTAAACAAATGACACAAATGTTAACTTTTATTTATTTTTTCATATTCAGCGATAATTTGTAAGAAACTAATACAACAAGAACAGAAATTGAGTAAAATATAGGGTATTTTTTTTTCATTTATTTTTGTTACCAAGTCATTAATTTTTTAAATTTTTTTGCTTAAATTCACTTCTTACTACAATTTCTATTCAAATATAAATATTCATAATTCATAAACTTTTAAAACTCTTAAAGGCGCTTATAGGGTCTCTATTAGTAGTTCAACTTTGATTATGTCTAAATATTTAGACTTAACTATAACTAATGCTTATTTTGAGCAGCTTTTGGCCTTGTTTGCTTTGGTTTGCACTGACAATTGACGACTTCTTAAGTGCGCTAAACAATTGTTCCCTGAATTAGATGAGCTTCATTTCACATGAATATAAAAATATATAATATATATTATATATTAATCAGGCAATAATGATTTAATTTTATTTGCAATTACTATGATTAGCATATAGTATCTTTTATTGCTTATTAGTAATTGTTCACAGAGTTAAAGACAGAGAGAGACAGAGACAGCTCGGCTAATTGGGCGACTAGACGGCTTGTTGAAATAATGTTAATTATGCTTCAGTTCGTTGCGAAAACTGTGTCAATTGTTGTAAATATTTAAATGAATTTTTGTGTGCCGGAAAGCAATTACTAAATGTGATTGATATTCAATTGATATGACTTTTCATTTCAATTAAAATTTCATTTGCCAATTTGTTAAATCAAATGAAGCACAAAGGAGAGATTTTACTGAAGATTTATTTACATATTTCTTGGCTGGCATCAGATTTACCTTTTATATAATATTTTTGAATGGAATTTTGCCAAGCCTTTAGCAATATATTCTTTTGTTATAAACATAAAATTGTCAATGAGACTCAGTTTCATTTAGTTATAACTAGTTATTGCTACACACATACGTTGGCCATAGGCTTGCTTAACTTTGTTTGCTTCGCTCACGATTTTAATCAAGTCAGCTGATAGCAACAGCAGCAGCAGCAGCTGCTATAGTCACCACTTCTTGGTCGAATTTGTATCGGGATAAATCATATGTAAACAACAAAAAAAGCTGCTTAATTGCCTGTTCTGGCAATTGTTTGTTAATATGTAAGAAAATTAAGCAGAACACAACGACTAGCAAATGCGCTGCTTGAATTTTATAGAATTATATATATAGGAAATAGCAAAAAATAAATAATAAAAATGTGAAAAAAACCAAAAAAATATTTTCTAAGTGATCTAAACATTTTCATCTAAGAATTTAATTAGACTTACGAGTTTTCAACTTAAATTATTAATTTTAACAAATAAAAAAATATATAAATTTAATACCAATCTACTTTAGAAACCTAGGCAAATATTTTGCATATGGAAACCTTATTTTTTTATAAACTTTCATTATTAATTGTATATTTTTCGAAACTACGAAGAGTTCTAGTAACTGCACAATGGTTTTTACGTAAGCAAGTTATGCACAGTCCTTAATGAGCCCACAACTCAGCACGAGGCACTTCAACAGACTATAAAACCATCAATAATTCTAAGCCCTCTAACCCTTCCTTCAGGCCTATAAATTATTCAAAATATATTCACCACTTATCCATCACCTACAATTATTATACAACAAATTTTACATCGTCATAATAAGAATGAAAGAAAAATTATAAGTGAATGAAAATTAGATACCTGAAGGTATTTATTTTAAAGATTTTATAAAAATATTGAATACATAAAATATTTAAAAAAAATCATGTTAAAAACTTTTAAATTAAAAATATTTTTAAAATTTTTTATAAAACATTTTCATATTTTTAGAGTTGTTGAGAAGGAAAATAAAGAACTTATGTAGAAAATGTTGAATATATTATTAAGTCTAACCTGCTGAGCTAACATTTTCAGCTCCAGATTTTGTGCAGTGCACTTAAGCAGCTGTGAGGGAATTAGAAAACGTCTTTAAGCTTTATTTATCTGAGGTTTGTGCGTTTTTGTCGGCTTTTCTAATCTTGGGCATTATCTATAAGCAAATAGTCTCCAGTGTTCTAGGCGTCATTGACAGAGCTTTTCTCATTATCAAATGCAGCCAAATAGCATAAGTAAATAATGGAATTGTTGTCAGGCAAGAGTTTTTTCTCCCTTATTTTCTATAGACAATGTTAATCGAAGTGTCGAGGCAGAGGCAACTGCTATTTGTCAGTTTGTTGTGAACTATTATTTACGCTCTAACAGCTGTAGCTAAGCACATCGAGAACTGTTGCATAATGCAAATAATAGATGTATTCAAATATGAATTTACAATGCAATCACTCACTTTTTATGGCATATACTATATATTTATATATATATGTATATATATATATAGCTACAGTCATTCAACTTTATGGGCACAGCCAAAATGAAAAAATATAACCGTATACTAATAGCGCAATCAATCAATTGATCTGTTTGCGGAATGAGCCGAGCTAATCTATTTAACTACTTGAGTAGTTGCCATAATTCATACTTGAGATAGTAGGGCAGAAGAAGACTTACCTAGAGCCCAGAGGCTCGTCACGTCACTATCAATATCCGTGAAAAGAATTTATAATGCTATCTACACTCAATAAATTTAATTGCACTTAATTATAAATTTATCAATTTCAGCTACACGACTCTAACACGACAGCGAATCAAGGCACTGATTCAGCTCTAGATATGCACACAGATATATATACATATATATATATATTTATTTATATATATGCCTTATTTGGGCTTTAAATTAACACTTCCGCAACGCTTGAGCTGCCGCTTGATTCATGCTGCTCACACGACAAATCTGAACTAGCAGCTTCTTTGGGCTACTTAAGTGGCATCAATTTGGCCACAAACTTTGCTACTTTTTCTTTGCTGCGAGGCGCCACACACAGACCGAACCGCACGATCGAGCTGCACAAGCCCAACTGAATGAAACTCAACTGTGCGACTGATAAGACCTCGCACTCGATCTAAGCGCACACACGCGACTGTCGAACGTGGGAGAGAGAGAGAGCGAACGTCAGTGTGTGGGTGTGTGGGTCGATAAAAACTAACATATCGCATGCGACAAGTGCACGAGTTGCATGCGATATGAGTTTGAAGAGTTTGTAGATGTTTGAAGGAGAGTGGACTTTACTTTGTTGTTGCAGAATTTGATAGGCTAAAGACTGAAGATTAAAGATTTATGTGAATTCTAAAAGGTAAAAGGGTTTTCCTTGAAAATAGATGAAGTTGAAACTTACTGCAGAAGTGTTTCAAGACGGTTGAAGTCAGTGATTCATAGTAATTACATTATGAGTTTAACTTAGTTTCTTTGAATACGTTTACTGAAGTCCAGACTTTAAATACCAGCTTTTAACTAGTTCTTCAGAAAACTTTTACCTATGCAGCAACAATTTGATGTTCACTCTTTGCTTGAAGGTCATTAAGTTGCTGTTGGAGCAAGTTCAGTTCGCGCGTCAAATTGATCTGGTTTGAATGCAGATCAAGATCCATTTGTCATCACAGAGCTGCCCAATGATTGAGACTGAAGTGTGAGCAACAGAATTGGTTCTGGCTCAACTGAAGCGCAACCATATTTTCATTACTTTATGTTTGTCCTTATTTCTTTTATACTGTGAAATTATATAGAGTGCATGTGACTTGAAACTTGCAGTTGTCCACTGGCAGATCGATCGATCTGATTCCAAAGAGTATTTTGCTTTTGAGCTTCACAGCTATAAATTGGCAGCAATATTTTATTTATTTTATTTATTTGTTTATTGTTGAATTTGGCTGGTCATTTAATTATGTATAGATGTACACTAGAGTCAATCTGAGAGATGTCAAAGGCAAAAGCTACAGCTTTGATGCTACAGAGCCTGAGTTTCAAGTCTTTATAGTTTCTTGATACAAATTTATATATTTAGTCTTTAGCTTAGCTTTTAGCTGTTATCAATAATGATATTTAAACTAAAATTTATTGCTTAATGTAGTGTAAGTCTGTAAAATTTTGCATGCTCGTTTTCAGATGAGTGTCCTTTAAATACAACTGAATGGAAATTCTCGGAAATGGAAATCGGAAATTTGAAATTTTGCTTACTGATCTTGCACGCACATAGTCATTTAGTTAAAAACTTAGATTTAATTACAAACCCGGCTGCTTGGATTCCACGCCGAGGACATACTTGTAATAGGCCGCGTTGAGTTGTTCGAGGAAGACGAAAGCAAACACCGTGTGTGGCCCGAGCCGACATAGGTAGGGCGTAAAACCCTTCCACAATGAAAATACGCCCTCGTTGCGTGTCACGGTGGCGAGGACATCCAACGTGCCCTTATACTCGCGGTGGCCGTCCGTTATCTTCATATTCTGTATCCGTGTCTTGGCCATGTCCATTGGCATCGAGGCGATCGTGGTCAATAGACCCGAACACATGCTTGCCACAATGTGCAAACCAAGTCCTTCGTTCATATACTCCTTGAAGAGGATCTTAAATTGTGAATACGATCCCAGCTGCACCATATTCACAATCATGGCACGCCCTATTGTTGGCATGCAGCCACGCCACAGCGCCAACACACCTTCCTCGCGTATTATCCGTGTCATGGCGTCGCCGACATTCTTATAATTACGCCGCTGATCCTCCGGCAGCCGGTTGTCGGCCATCATTCGTATGAGCGAGACCTCGGCTGGATTGCCAACCACAGCGCCGCATGCGCCCGCAACGATGCCCATCAGCATGCTGGCGAGCACGTTGGGCGATTTCTGATAGTTTTTCTGATAGGCTTCCACCTCCATCTGATAGACGCCCATGCGTGTTGTTGTGTACGTCGCCTGTCGCAGCAATCCTGCGCTGACGCCGTTGTAGAATGCCAATATGCCCTCGGACTTTAAGACCTTGGCCATGCAGTCGAAGGAGCTCTTATATTCACTCTTGCCACTCGCACCGGCCACTTGCATTCGCGTTTTCACCAGATCCAGGGGTTGCACTATGACGGACGCCAACATGCCAGCGGTGCCCCCGAGGACATACTTCATGTAGGAGGGTATAGTTTGACTGCTTGCATTTTGCACGTCCATAATCCAAAAACATTTAGGCTAAAATATTGAGAATTTCGATCAAATATTTCTACGTATGTGCTGACTGTTGAAATCTTACACTAAAAAGTTTACACAAAACTGTTGAAATGTCTCCTGAAAAAGGACAGTGATTGATGGTGTACCCAAAATGCAGCTATGCTAAGAGCTCCAAAGGTGAGTAGGAGAGAGAGAGAGGATAGATAAAGAGTGAGATGAGAGACATATACAGAGGGAGAGCAAGAGAAAGCCAGAGAGAAATGTAGAGTTAAGAAAGGGAAGATAGATCGAGAGAGAGAGAGAGAGACTCTTCCGATCTTTAGCTGACCAGAAGCTTGAGAATAAAAGTGATTTATATATTTATACGCTTAGAGTGGAGGTAGAGGCTTTTCCAGCAATTTATACATAAAAATTAATATATATAAAAATTAATTTCGATCAGGCCAAATTAGTTCTCTTTTTGGGCCTCTTAATTGGCTTGCCAGGCGCATTTGGGTTCGCGCAGCATTGAATTTAATTGTGGCAGTTAACGCTGGGCAACACCAACATAACAGATCAATTAACGTGGCCATATAATTTTCCGCACATGCTGGTTAATTATTGAACTTTAGCCGCCTCGAACGCCCCGCGCTCCAGAAATTAACAAAGCGCAGTCGACGGGCTCATTATCGGAGTTTTTGCATTAGATGAAAAGCGTTCGCATTTGCAATTAGAAGAAGGTTCAAGCCACAGTGGCGTTTTAAGCAAAAACTGGAGCAAGGTGCTTGGGCGCAGGAGGCGTGGCCGTAATTAGACAGCGCCAAAAAAATTTGTGTACTTACCAACTAGCATATTGGCAACTCATTGCGGGCTAATTAAGAACTCATGCTGCGGCACAGCAACACGCAACACTGCCAATAGCCCACAATAGCTAAGCGCAACAACAACTTGCAACGTTGTTGATTTTCGCGTGGATCAAACAAAAATCGCACGCAGCGGTGGAAAATGTCGACTAATTGGTGGTAAATGGTTTGCGTATCAGCTAAGTGCTGCCAAAATCAATTGCATACTCTAAGGCAGCAAGTAAAAACAATTCCAATTAGACAACTGCAGGAGAGTGAGAGAGAGCGAGTGACGGGCTGCTCTTAAAGGCAATTAAGTTAAAGTGGATCAATTGCCAATTGGTTTGTGTCCATGCTAAAATCAAGCTAGATTTATTTCTTACTTTCAGGCAGCAAATTTTTGTAGTTTCATATGAAATGAAACAGGAGCAAATTAAAAACAAATATTAGAAAAGTTGAAAGGCATTGTAATTAGTTAATTATAAAAATGATACACACATACTAGAAATGGGTTTGTGTGCCGTGTAGGTTTGGCCACAATTGTTTGCATACTCCCAGGCAGCATTGGCAAACTTATCAAATCAGATCAGTAAAGTCGGCTGAGGTAATCACCAGACAGTCAAGTAAAAGTGGGCCAACAACAATAACAACTGTAACAACTGGCAATTGTGAAAATTGTAAATAAATATTTGAGCAAATGACAACGAGCCGGCTAAAACTACTTGCGTCTATAAATCAGATCATATCGGCAGCTGGTTTTGCGGTCAACAGGCGACAGCAGCCCTACAAGCGTGGCAAGGAAAACTGCAACGTGAAAAATGCATGAAAGAAAAAACCAAAAAAAAACAACAACAAATGTTGACAACAAGATCTAAGCGATAAGCGCCACAGGAGAAGCAAGAGCGAGAGGCCTTGGGTAGCAGCAGCAGCAGAAGCGCAGGGAAAACCGCAGAGCTATGCTAAAGCTGTAGCTAAAAAGCAAAATGACAATAACAGCTGCAATTCAAAAGAGAGAGAGAGAGAGAGAGAGCAGAGTGAGGAGGCAGGGGGACGTCGTGTGAGCGACTGCAAAAAGTACAAACGAAAAAAAACAAGGCATTAAGTGGCGAACCGTTAAGAAGTCATTGGGTAGACTAAAACCTGAAAACAGCAATAAAACGACGTCAGCGTCACGAAAAAACTTAATGCGGCAATTGCTGAAGTAAACAGAGCAAACTATCAGAGAGTTAGCGGCAAGAAGAAGCTGTCGCCAGAGAGTGAGAGCAGCGCGTAGTTAGAGAGTAAAAGTTGACAGCGAGAGCGCAGCGAAAGCTAAGTGAACAGTGCAGGCCACACAAATAGCAACAAGTTGAAGAAACACAACGAAGTTCGAAAACGTTTCGTTGCTCTTAGCATGGTCACAGCTGTATTTGATCAACTGTAAATGATAGCTTCAATATGTGGATGTATTCAATTTATGTAGCTACTGTCATCACACACATATACCCACAGAGCCTATTAGAGAACAACAAAAGTTGTTAAATGTGTGTCAATCCAGTCCGGTTTTCCGACCACTGTGGGACGCTGATGCTGCCCAAAAAATACACACAACAAAAACTACCTAAAACGCACAATGCAATAAACAGTTATAGTTAAACAATAAATCAAAAGCTGAGAGAAAAACAAAAATTCTAAACTAAAGACTCTGGCCACAAACTTGAGATCATTGACGCTCGCACTCTCCGGCGCTGGCGCTCTCTTTGGCGCTCTTTCGAGCTGCGACACTTTCGAACTTGTTTTCGAACAACTAAGTTGAGGCTCGCCAGCAGCAGCTGCAGCCGAAAACTTTGGTCATTCGTCAGTGAACCGTCCACGCTTAACGGTCTGATCACGGGGCTCTCGCTTACAAGTCGCAGCGTAGCGTCTTCTTCTTTGCCGAAGAACGAACGTCTTACAAGCAACAACAAAGAAAGAAAGAAAAAAAGATATATATCTGTGGATGAAAGCCTCGCTCTTTGCATTTTTTGTTTATCTACGCGTGTGCGTGCGCCTCTGTGCCTGTGTGCGTGTTACCATTTTGCATTTTTCGGGCTTTTCGTCGCTTCGCGTCGCGCCGCTTTGCACTGTTTGCGCCTTTTGCACTGCGTGTGCAGTTCCGTTCCGTTCAGTTCAGTTTGGCTCGGCAAAGCCTTTAAAATAAATTACTAATTGTTGTTGTTGTTCTTAACGCCGCGCGTGCTACGACAGAAAAAAAGTGCAGCGAAATTTCACTTAAAAAGTGCTCGAAAAAAGTGTTCGAAAATAAATAAAAAAAAAATAAGTAAGAAAACGGCACAAGTTCTGTTTGCCATGTTATTAACATTGTGTTCATAATTCCACAGTATGCACAAAATACAAATAAAGAAATATATACAAAATACAAGCTCAAATAGAAAGCAACAAATTTCCACAGCTAACACAACAACTACAACAACGCCAACAATAGCAACAGCATTCAGCATAAACTAGAGGAATAATACATGAAACTTAAATAAAAGAGGTATGTAAATGCAGAAATAGAGAAAGAGAGAGCGAGAGAGAAAGAGAGAGAGAGAGTGAAAGAGAACTAGAACTGCATCTACAGTGAAAAGTCGACAAATATTTATTTTTTATACAATTTATATATAATCGCGATCAGTCGTTCGACCTGTAAAGACGTGAATTCGAACAGCCTTCGCTTAAGCTCTACTGCTGCAGAGTTCTAAAAATAGAACTTTGCGGTGCATTCTTCAACGCAACAGCAACAAAAACCGCACACGCAGCGTTTTCTTATCGCTTGCTTCCGCGTAACTCAATTGCTTTAATTGCAATTTACGAAATTTCGTCGCTTGGCGCGAGTGCGCCTGCACTCAAAAGCACAATCCGCGATGACATCTAATGTCAATAACCTCGCTACAGCTGTAAAGGTAAATGCAGAAATGCAAGCCCAGCTTAACGTTGTGATGGCAAATAGGCAAGCCTCCATCATGCCAATAAACTCAAAAATAGATATCGCCTCCGTGCAAGGCATCACTAACAACAAAAACACGAAACGTAAACAGCCAAATTCACCAAAAACCATCAAGAAAAGGCTCATCTTCGACGAACCAAGCACCAGCAATGCAGCATTAATATCAGAAAATCGATTTTCACTGCTCGTAGAAGAAGATGAAGACTACAGCGAATCACCTGTAGCTCCAGAAGCCCCAGTATTGACCGACCAGCAAACTACTCCGAAACCTCGTCCGCCCCCCATATGGTGTCCAAACATCAAGTCTGTGGCCCTACTTCAACAGATAATAGATAAAGTAATTGATGCTAAATCATACGTAATTAAGCCAAAGAAGAATAACATAGGTGTATTAACCCAATGCAGTGAGGACTATCGCAGAGTTATAGACCACTTTACTAAGCTGGAATTGGAGTTCCACTGCTACCAGCTTAAGGAGGACAAACCATATAGAGTCGTGTTCAAAGGGCTTCACTCCAGCACTGATACAACACTAATTAAAAAGGAATTGGAAACCAAAGGCCACACAATTACAAATGTGCACAACCCACTGAGCCGTATGGACAAAACACCGCTAAATATATTTTTTGTTGACGTGGCTCAGGCCCCCAACAACAAAGAAATTTTGGACATTCGAGTTGTCTGCAGGCAACGCTGCACAGTGGAACTGCCAAGAAGATACAACGACCTGACACAATGCCATCGCTGTCAAGAATTTGGACACACACAACGCTACTGCCACAAAGCTCCCAGATGTGTGCGTTGCGCCGGGAAACACGCATCCAAAGACTGCACCCGCGAAAAGGACCAGGCACCAACTTGTGTGCACTGTGAGTTACAGCACCCAGCCAACTATAAGGGCTGCCAAGTATACAAGCGGTTGCGCAAATTGCAATCCCCAGCACAAAAAAGGAGTCCCACACAAACACCGTCTACGGGTCCGAGTACTGCTTCCGAAATTACAAGGCCCCGGAGCATTACCCAAGCCACGAGCTTTGCAACGCCTATTAGTGGTGTTTCTTACGCACAGGCCGCTAGAGGTGGACCGTCAAATAAGAATACCACAAGTGACACTTTGTTCACTGAAATGCTTCAGCAACAACAACGTCAGTTTGACGCAATTAATGCCGAGCTCAAAGCGATGCGAGAAGTACAATCCCAACAAGCAACCATGCTAAACAGTTTAATGGCCATCATAACCAAGCTTGCCTACAAATAATGGCTTTACGTGTGGGTATCTGGAACGCCAATGGCCTGAGAAACAAGACTCAGGAACTGGCTGCGTTTCTCTCACAAGAAAACATAGATATAATGTTAATAACAGAAACTCATGAGTGCCCCACTACACAAATTTTCGGATACGAACACTATCAGGCTCATGGTGAAGGAGCAAACTGCTTTGGTGGATCCTCAATCCTCATACGAGCAACAATACCGCATACACCTTTACTGCCAATTTGCAACGCAACAATGCAGGTCTCAGCCATCACCCTGCCTACGTCTATTGGAGCGATCGAAGTTGCGTCAATTTATCTTCCGCCAAACACTGGTCTGTGTGATCATCACATGGAACAGGTTCTAGGCCAAAGGTTGAATAAGACCCTCATCGGCGGCGACTGGAATGGATGGCACCCATTTTGGGGAAGCAATAGTGCGAATCGTCGCGGAGAAGTCATATTTGAGGCGATTCAAAACTTACAATTCAGCATATTGGCGACTGGAGCCCCCACCCGTTACCCAATTAATGGACACAGGCCCTCGGCAATCGACTTCGCTGTCTACAAAGGCATCTGTGACCGGCAATTGACCATTGAAGAATCCTTGGACCTATCCTCTGACCACCTGCCACTAATAGTCACAATCCACGCGCAGCCACAGCCCTTGCCCATTAGGAAACAACTACTGCCAGCAGGATCAGATTTAGGAGTCTTTAGGCGCGAGCTCCATTACTCTTTGCACATAGAAATGGAACTTAACACTCCTGAAGACGTGGACTACGCAGCAAACAAACTGCAGGAAGAAATAGTCAAAGCTGCGCACCAAGCCGCCCCACCATCTTGCCAAACAAGACAACAGTCTCCGTACAACATCCCCCTCACCTTGGAGGCCCAACACCTACTAATACACAAAAGATGGGCCAGGAGACGCTGGTTAAGATTACGCACGCCTGATGCCAAATCCATGTACAACGAAGCCACGAGGCATCTTAAAGCTGCTCTCGCCCTGCTTCAAAAGAGGTGTATCAGCGATGCGCTGGTACGAGCTGAATCGCCCACTGACGCAGAGTTTCAATTATGGAAATTTACAAGAAAGCTCAAACGGCAGCCAATACGACGTCATCCCATTCGGAGCATTTCTGGTTCCTGGCACATTGGAGACGAAGCTCAAGCTGAGGCTTTTGCAAACCACCTTCAAGACCAATTCACGCCGGTGATTACCGCAGAGGCCTCAGAAATCGAAGCAACAGAAGACATCGTTCTCTCGCCCCTCCCAGCTGAAGACCAGATAACTGGATGTACAAAAGAAGAGGTTCTTGAACACATCAGAAGAGTGAAGGCAAAAAAATCCCCTGGATATGATCTAATAAACGGCAGAGTCCTTAGAGCACTGCCTGACTCCACCATAGACTACATAACTATGGTGTACAACGCCATGCTCCGCATCCGGCACTTTCCAGCCTGCTGGAAGCGCGCCGTGATTGTGATGATTCCTAAGCCTGGCAAACCCGTGGGAGAAATTGAGTCGTACAGACCAATTAGCCTGTTGCCAGTACTCTCCAAAATATTCGAAAGAATATTTCTGGAACGAGTACTGACACATCTGGGACGCCAGGAGGCCATTCCAAACCATCAGTTTGGCTTCAGGAGACAGCATGGAACACCGGAACAGGTTCACAGAGTTGTGCACCATATCCTTGGAGCCTTTGAAGAAAAGATGTACTGCTCTGCCGTCTTTTTAGACATCAAACAGGCGTTTGATCGAGTTTGGCACCTGGGACTGCTGCAGAAAGTGAGGACCACCCTTCCAGCCCCATTTTTCGCGTTGCTATCCTCATACCTTATTGGAAGAACCTTCCAAGTGTCAAGGGGGCAAACAGTATCCTTGACTAGACCAATTATGGCTGGAGTACCACAGGGTAGTGTTCTAGGCCCAACACTTTATACTTTATTCACAGGAGATATGCCAACTCCCGAGCCAAATATAGGAAGTACAGATGCAGTACTCATAGCGACCTATGCAGATGACACCGCCATCTTATCACGTCACGTATCTGCGCAAGAAGCTTCAGACTCACTACAAAAATATCTGGACTCTTTCGGACGCTGGGCAAAACGGTGGTGTATCACCATTAATGCACAAAAGTCTGTACATACTACCTTCGCCACTAGAAGAGGAGATTGCCCAAGCGTTGCATTGGGGCCCACTATTCCCAAAGCCTCAAAAGTAAAGTACCTTGGTATCACTCTTGACAGAAGGCTGACTTTTAAAGCGCACATAAGTCAAGTAACCTCAAAATGCAAAAGCAAGCTAAAAACCCTCGACTGGATGCTGAGAGCTTCAAGCAAGTTGTCTTACAGCAGCAAGGCCGCCATCTACAAGGCAATAGTTGTCCCAACCTTCGTATATGGTATCTCTCTATGGGGCTCCTCGGCGAAGACTACAAGGAACAAAATTCAGACCCTGCAGAATAAAGCACTACGCAGATGGACTGGAGCCAGCTGGTTTGTAAGAAACTCAGTCTTACATAGGGATTTAGCAATTCCCACAGTTGCTGAACTCATTGGGCGACACAGTTCAAGATACGCGGACAGACTTGCAGCGCATCCTAACCATCTCGCAAGCAACCTGGCTATAAACAACAATAGGCGAAGACTGAAGAGATTGCATCCTCTAGACAATATTAGAACTAATTAAGATAGTAGCTACAAGTGCAGAATAATTGGCATATCTGCCCTCCCATTAGTTAAGGTTTAGAGCTAAATGCGCTATAGAGTCTAAGACAATAAGCTGCAACAAAATAAAGAAATAAAAACGAAAAAAAAAAAAAAAAAAAAAAAAAATTTATATATGATAAAATTGTATTATAAATTATTTGAAGAAAAAGGAAAATTGTAAACCAAAATTTATTTTTTAGCTGTCTCTTTTTTTCAATAAAAGAAAAGTGTATACAGCTGTGTTCATAAAAATAGTAGTGCGACAGAGCACTAAATGTTGCACAATCCAATTTAGTAATAATCGCCATATTTTGAAAACAACTGCAAACGAATATTAAAACTAACATATTTTGTATTAATTTAGTTACAATTTTAATTTTGTAGCTAAGTTCATAAAAATAGTGGCGTAACTGAGCACTAAATGTTGCACAATCCAATTAAGTTATAATCACCATATTTTGAAAACAACTGTAAACGAAAATTAAGACTAACATATTTTGTATTAATTTAGTTACAATTTGCATTTTACATTTATTTTTTTTTTATATATTTTATTTTTATTAAATTTTTTTAATTTATATATTTTGCTATATTTATATTTGTATTTGAAATAGATTTATTAATTTATTGTTGTAAATACATCTAAATGTTTTTGTAAGAAATTTATTTTTGTATTTTAATTATTATATACATTTTTATTTTTTATTTTAAATAAATTTTTGCTTTTATTTTATTAGGTTTAATTTCGATGAACATTTGAATTTGCTTAATTAATTTAATCAAAAATTTTAATTGTTATAACAATTTCATCTCAAGCTTCTGTTACATATAAAAAAAATTTGTCAGCTGCAACTCTGGTGCTCCACTTAGCGAGCGTTAACTGTAGCTGAACTGGACATAACTGTTTGATTATTTAATTGACAAGCGGCGCTACAGGAAGAACCAGTAAAAGAACCAGCCATAGCTGTAACTGCAGTTAAAATCTTTTCAAATTGTCAATTCTGAAGTCGAGATCTTTATTTTCTCTCATTCGCTGTTTAATATATTCCATTAATACATTTCTCTTGGGGCGATTTGATTTGCATATCGCATTCATTCACTCAGAGTATCATAATTTCCCAAAATGAAAACCCAGTTGGAGTCGCGTTTGATTGTCAGTTTCGTTGGTTTGGATCGATTTTCATATTGTGGTTTCTTGCAACCGACAAAACAAAAATACAACACTTGCTGCACGATTGAACTTTAAGCCGCATTCTTTGCTGTCTGCGGGCCGCCTCGATTGGACGTCGTTGGTTCAAGCTAAAGCTGGCCAATTTTTTCGTAAGCAGAGGCTGCGACTCATTCTTCGTGGGAACTCTTTGCACTAGGCTGTCTGGCATTTGCCTGTGCGGCACACATTTTTTGTTTTTGCCTCGCTTTGAGTTAGTTAGTTGGTTTAGCCTAGACGAAACTGGCTTTAAGAACAGGAATTTCCACTCCTACAACAATACGTTAATGACAGTTGGCCTATACTCTTATAAAAAAAGTCGGATATGGGCTTAAGATAAGCGAGTGCTAGAAAACTAATTAGCAAAGGGTATTTTAAGTCGGTCAAGAAATATAGTAGACCTCGTCTAGTATTCCAGCTTGTAAGAGTATTTGAGCTTGGATCTTGAACGGATTTTAAACTAAAGCTAAAGATTTTAAACTAATCAGTTTAGCAGGTTTAAAAACCTATTCAAATTTCAAACTGCATCTTTATAGAGTATTCAATAGTCGGTTCCCTCTCAAACCATTAAATTGCAACGAAAATTTGTTTTTATATTCAATTTGTAATTCAAAATTCTTTGATTTTTAATCGTCAACAATTAATACAAACTAAAAAAACTTGAAAAGCGGATGCCAATTGCTAAACTAAGAACTAAGAACTAAGAACTAAACACTAAGAATTAAAACTAAAATAAAAAGTTAATTTGTTAAGTTAGACAAAGATTTCGGGTCCAAAGATCGCAACCTTTGTGGATTGTGCGGCGCGCGGCTTGGGCGGTGTGCTGGGCGCCTTGACAGAGGGCGCAGCAGATTCGGAACTGCTGCTCAAACTAGAACTGGAACTTGAACGGGAACTGGAACTGGAACGAGAGCTGGAGTTCTTTCTGCGCCGCATGCTGCGCAGCTCGTCTCGCAGCTGCTCCTTGTAGACGAGCTCCCGCTTGCAGGCCTGCAGCTCCTCGACGCTGCAGTGCTTCAGCTGGCGTATCGTACGCGAGACGAGGCCATCGATTATGTGTATCTTGCAGCGGGAGAGCCGCGTCGGCTCCGCATGCCGGCGCGTCAGCTCGCTCTGATACTGGAACAGCAAGTAGCCAACGCTGGGTCGAGCGCCGCGACGATGATTGTGGCTTTGGCTCTTTTGGCTTTCCATAATTGATCGAGTTGCTCGTCGAGTGTCGCTGTCGTGAATGATGTCCTTTAGTACTTTACCAGGATTATTTATATGTGAGCAATGGTTGGGTGTGGATCGGTGCTTTTGCTACCTGTTGACCTGTCAGCGCAATTACCTGTTGTTCAACAAAAACGAGAAAAATCTGTGGCTTGGTTTGTTAGCCTGGGCAAAACCCAATTTTGCGTCTGTTACAAATCTTGTTAAATGTTTCGACAGCAATCACAAAGCTACGACTGTGTCTATGCGTGGGTGCGTGTGCTTATGTGTATGATTGAGTGTGTGTGGGTTGCTTTTGTTTTGTTTATTGCACAGCAGCGATAAATTTATAGCTTGACCTTTGCATAAATACATATCTCTCTCGCTCTGTGTTCACGGCTTAAAAACATACATAGAACTGAAGCATAAAAGTGAAAGTATTTGAGTTGAGCAACTTGCAGATACCCTGCATATTTGCTTATGGGCAGGGTAGTTGTGCCTAACTGTTGAAGAAAACTTCTAGATTATGATTCTAAGCTTAATTTAGAGAGTTTAAGGACTGTATTGTAAATGGGGAATGAGCCTGACTGAAATTTGTTAAGAATTTGATATACTCTTTGAAATTAAGCATTTATCAATTAGAATTTGCTGCTGCTTCGAGACTAATACATAGTTTCTATATATATTTCTCACGATTCTTATGCATTTTAGAGACTTTCAAAGAAGCATCAAAGGGTTATCAAATACTTAACAATAATATATATACATCCACTATCAATCACACTGAACAGCACTATATATAGAGCTTCTAATCTAGCTGTTGCCATCTTTTGACGACTAGATAAACATTCTTAAACAATCATGCCAAAGCTTACATATTTTATTCATTCATTTTTATCTTGACCATACAATTTGTATAATATTTTTCATAGCCATTAAAAAACATTATCTAACAATTAAATCCAACTTTTATATAGTTTAGCATTCATTTATCTCAGCTATAAAATGTTTATAAATAATTTTCATACCCCTTCAATAGAGTCTAAGCTCTTCGCCAGCCGCTTGACTCCGTTGCCCGTGGCCTAATAAATGTGTTTAAATTTGCGCAGAAATTTATACAATTTACACAATTTATTCGCAACGCGCTTGACCCTCGCACTAAGAAGTGCTTATTAAATATTTATTTATGAACGAGAATTTCTCGAAATCTAGTCCAACCATCGGCCGGCTGATCCACTTGCCTAAAATTTACTTTTGCGCACGATTATAATTTTCACTTAATTTAATTGAGCCGTGGACCGTCGACAGTGAACTGCTCTAAATGCGCATTTCAACTAAATTTCAACTTAATTATGTTAAAATGTTTGCCGAAATGTGTATGGAAAAAGAAGAAATGACAAGAAAAGTGAAAATTCCTGCTGCTGCTTCATTGTTTGTCTTTCACTTCAAGCGCTAAGCGCTGCGCCTTGTCAAAATTCTTTTCAAATATGCGCAGCTGCATTAAGCCAGCAATAACAACAACACCAACATGCGCAGCAACAACAATAACAATTATAACAATGTAATATATATATATATATATATTATATACATATACATATAGCCCACATTAAGCACTGCAGAGAGAAAGTTCGAGTAGTAGCAGGGCAGGCTAGTTAAATTTGGTAATGGAATTGGCTGCACTTAAGTTTTTAATATATTTATTATGTTTATTTTTTATATTTATAATTTATAGATATCACTTTATCTTATTGAGATTGTATAATAATAATATACAAGATTGAACTTAAGGCCAAAAATTAGATATTTTAAAATTACAGTAATTGAAAAAGCATAGACAAAAATTAGATGTACAAATATTTTTTTTCATCCTAAACGATTTTAGCATTTAAATATAGTTTTTAAAATAATGTATATCCATTCTAAATCATGTAAAATTGTTAATTTTCTCTGACTAACTCTACTGCAATTATTCAAAGCTATTTAGCATTCGCATATTAAATATATTTGTTAGAGTATTTGAGTTTCTTCAATTAACAGTTAAATATTGTCTCATGTAGTTAAGCTATGCTAATGGGCTTCGACGAGTGCCGTCCGCTGCGCTGTGCTGGCCCTTGTTAAAGCCCATATGTATGGACAAATACAAATATTATAAGATGCTGCTCTGCTTATGCTTTTTTTGTGGTGCTAAATGCAGGGCGCTCGAGGCGAGGCGTAGCAGTAAACGATGAAGACGATGAATGACCCACAAAACGCAGACAAATCCCCAATAATGTAAATGAAAATCCATGAAAATCTATGAAAATATATGAAAAGAGCTGCAGCAGCTGCAGGCGGGACGTTGCTTAATCAACAATCATTTTTTTGTGGCTGTTGACTTGATTATAATTGTGATTGTCTGAGCGATAACTTTTGAATGCGTAAACCAACTTGTTTCCATTGAGTCGAGTTTAGAACGCGTTGAATTGGAAGCTGTCTGCGAGCTGTCAAGAGCAGCATTTGCTTAGTGTTTGCTGTCCGCATCGGCAGCTAGCCTCTGGCTTTGACCTTTGCTTACCTGCGCAAACGAAACGTGTGCGCGTTGCCTCCTCGCCTCATCGCTTCCTCGGGGCAACGCCGGTCAACCGCTCATAAAACGCTGATGCGACGCATTTGCCTAAGCCGGCGCGTGGTCTTTCCCCAGTGCTTAATCCTGGCTGCGAGATCCTTTTGTTTTTCTGCATTCTCGCTACTGGACGCAATTATAAAAGGATTATGCCATTTGTGACCTGACAAACCAAATACCACACTGCATGTTCTCTCACTGCCCGATGCTCCTTGCCCTCTGCCCTCTGCTCACTGACCTCTGGCCACTTGCACATTTCATTATGAAGCAAACCTTAATGAATTACCTAGAAGTTGTTAAGTGCCAGAAGGGCAACAGGCATTTTTAGACCAATATGCTGCGCAAGTTCTCGAACATTTTGTTGACTGCAGCTATGCTAATGACTCGAAAGAAAATGCAGCACATGGAAACACACGTGAAAATGTCACAGCAAAAGGAACACAGCAAACAGGACAAATTTACAAAGAAGTTGCGACAGATAGCTAGAGAGTGAGATAGATGGAGAGAGAGAGAGAAAACACAATGGTTAGATGAGAAGTTATGTGTGACATTACAGTGAATGCTCGTTAGGTGAACTTGGCTATGCATTTTAAGGCTTTTTGCAGCAGTTTCGCATTACTATTGACTTCAATGGCTGTGTGAAACTTATAGAGGAGATATGTAATATATGTGTGAGATATAGTAGTTGGATCTCTGAATAACGCAAAGTTTATAGCTCAAAGCAATGAAGTTAGAAATATATATAGAATATTAATTAATGGCAAATTCAGCTTAGTTAAGCTAGGAATAGTTATAGAGGGGAATTTTTCAACTAAATGAATTGATATAGTAACTTCATTCATTCATCCATTCTCTTTTATATAATCCTGCTGCAAGCCCAATCCAATGCTTTTCAAGTCTTCTTTATCTTCACAACATTTCTCTCGCAATTCAATTCTTCTGTGTATCGCTGACATATTAGCTAAGCCGTTGAACGTCCTCTTTGTCCACGCGCTGACTCGACAGGTTCGTTCATGCTTGGCAGCATTCACAGCTGCTGTGTTTGCATATGGATATACATAGCGATGATGTTCATATTATGACTGGTAGCATAAACGGTTGGTTAGCATCCAAAGTGGATTAGGCCGGATTAAGCCACGAAATATTTTGGCACAAATATTTACAGTTGCTTGACCTGCAGGCGGCGCTTGGGCGCTCAGGTGGTGCAGGTAGTACAGGTAGAGCAGGACAGGTAGCTTCGATCGCTTGCATATAAGCGATGTTCAATGTTGCCATGTCAACACTTGGTGAACCACAACCAAACGAGCAACAACCAATCGAAATGGAGCTGGAAAAGCAATCGAAACCGACTGTCTCGTATCATTTGTTTCTCTATCGCGAGGAACTGGCCAGACGTCAGCGACGTCAGTTGCGGCTTTCCCGCACCAAGATCGAGATCACGGACGAGCTCATCTCGAAGACGGTGCGCAACATCAAAAGCTGCAGCATGGACGATCTAAAGGCGGTCAATCGGGAGCTGCTCTTCAAACGGAAACTGCGACACAATGTCTCCAAGCTACGCAAACAAGCCAAGCAGCAATAGTCAGAGAGGGAGAGAGAGCGGGGGAAGAGGTAGCGAGTAGAGCAGCCCAACGAAAAATATTGTACATAAACAAATTTTGTAAATAAATCAACTTCGATAAGATTCTGCATTGAAAACGCTTTCGAAAACTTGTCAATTTTATGGTCTATTCACAGCGAGATAGAGAAGCTTTAAGCCAGAGAAAAAACTAAAAAAAAACCTGCCAGCTGAATCAGCAAATGCGGCACAAAGGCAAAACGTAAACTTCTCAGACTTTAGAGACTTGGCCAAAACGAAATACGACAAAAAAGTAGTTTGCATTGAACAAAAGTAAATGGCTAAAGAGCTGAGCAAAAATGAATTTTGAAAAGCCAAAGCCAGAGCCATAAAGGAGAAGACTGAGAGGGAGGTGCTGTCCCGCCGCCAACCAGTTGCAAATATTTATATATCTTTGTGTTTTTTGGTGGTCAACAACTTAATTAGAAATTGCAAATGCAATTAAAAATCGCAACGCCGCAGAAATTTTATCAAATTTAAATATATATAATATCTATCTATATATATATATATATCAGCTTATATATTTAGCAGCGAGTGCTAGTAGCAGCAACCGAAACAAGTTCGCTGCATAAATTAAGCTAAAACCAAAGCCAAAGCCAAAGCGAGTAGCAGCCGAAGAGAGCGCAAAGATCAGAGTTGATTTAAGCCCACTGCAAAACAAGACAGCGAACTTTGCAGAGCCTAGACGAATAACCAATGCACTGATAGCTAAAGCAATGCAGTTGAAGCTGTTTGAAATGAACGAGGAAGTTTAGAAGAGGAAGGCAAAGAAATCCTATCCAAACAAGTGTGTAAAATCTTCATCATATTTGATACAGTAAAGTACATAAAGAAATCTCGCCCAAAACTCAAACTCCCAACTATCCATAAATTCAACAGCTTCAACTCAGTTAACATTTTCTTCAAGAAACTTAGTATTGCCTTTAGTTTAGAGTATAGAAATAAAAGTTAGCAACTAAAAACAAAGTCACGATATAAATAAAGAGCAGTCAACGTTAACAGCGAGCTGTGCAAAATTTATAACGTGACATTGTTAAATTTATTGTGGCCAAAAAAAAATGTTGTAATAAAACTTGAGCTTCCAGCGCGAACGGCATTTGGGCCAAAGCGAAGTCTGGCGCCAGTGCTCAAAGAAATAATTGCGAATATCATGCTTGATACAATAATTGACTCGATTATATATGTATGTGCATACATTTGTATATATATTTATGTATAAATACAGATATTTGAGATGCTTGAGATGCTTGTTGAGCCCGTTGCGACGCCGGGGGCAAAAGTGAATAAGTAAAAACTTTTGCTGGATCTTTAATTAATCTTTATGGGTTTATTCAACAGCGGCAGCAACAACAATAATGACAAGAATTTTATTTGTATTTGATTGATTCCGCAATTGGACAGCTCTCAACGCCTAAATCTGGCCGTAAGCCGTGTATTTATGTATCATTAAATGCTTTGTTTTCATTTCATGGCATTATAAAAGTCAGACAGCGACGACCCGCCTTCGATATCATATTGAAGGACAGTTTGGCTTACAGCTGTTCTGCTTGACAAATGGGCTAAAAACAAAAAGCAACAACTGCAACAGCAACCATAAGAAAATCATCAAATCACGACTTGAGCGCCTTTGATTGACATGCAGCTCGCCACAGCAACAAGAATCACAATCAAAGCAATAACAATCGATAACAAATACAAGAGCTGTAGAGCTCTAGCAACAACTGATTGTTCATAATTAAAGCTAAAAAGGCCCGAGGCAACAAATTTTCGCAATGATTCTGTGGGCCGACAACGCAACGCGGCAAAATAGCAAATGGCAAAGAGCTAACCGGCCAGCAAATTATCTCCAACCACTAACAGTACATACAGCTATAGTTATATATATAGATATATATATATACTATAATACACTAGCAGAAAAACTTTATTGCAATCGGCCTAGAAATTGCTGCATTTTGCTTTACCATATTCTAATACAAACAGGTTAATAAATTTAATGTTTAATAGTACAAAGCTAACAAATACTAAATTAAGTATGTTATATGTTATTGAAAAGTATAAAATACTAATATTAATATAGCTACAATAGGTATTTATATGCCTTATTGCTTAGCAGTTTTAGTACTAGAAAAAAATACTAAAAATATAAAAAGAATTTTTTCTTCTCAATGAATGGATAATTCGAACTATTTTTGGCTCAGTGTAAGCTAAGTATTTGGAAACTTTAAATAATTATTCCAAGATTAATGTTCACCAATCTATTCATTTTATTTATTTATTTTTACATATAAAACATAAAATCTTTGCTAATTTTTCTTAGTGTATATGAAAAGTATCATTAAAAAATATAAGGTAAAAATTTGGGGATTTACATAAAAGTATTTTAAATTTAAATAAGAGCAAATATCTCTGCATAGAATTTACTGCACACGCTACTCAATCATTCTCTATTCTCTAAGTGTATTCTACCATACATAGTCAGTAAATACGTGCAACAGTTACACAGGCAACCCGCATGTCACGCCCCGTAAAGCAGCAGCAAGAGCAGTTGCCAGCGAGGCAGAGCAACGACTGCTTATTAACGCATAATTAGCATATTTAGTCTGGCTCGAAGATTGCGATCCCAAGCTGTCGCACAGGTCTATAGACCTACAACTGCCCCACACTCGACGTGTCTGTAGCGAACCTGTGCCGCCTCGTTGACATTGCCTGCAATTTGTCGATTTGTCACACAATTTCAGTTGATATGAATTCCGTTGCTCCCTCTCACTCTCTCTCTCTCTCGCCGTCTCTGCCTCTCGCTCTACCTTTGTCTGCGTCTTCTGCTCGGTTGCCATCTGCGAGCGAGCAACAACGTCCGTTCGTGGTCATTGCAAGTTAAGCCTCATTTAGCTACAGCACTCTATTACTTGAACCAATTGCAGAAACGAAATAGGCATAATGCCTGACTAGGGAATACTCTGTAAGGGGTTACAATCAGTTAAGGTATTTGCTTTTAATGTGGGAAGGATTTAGATTAAATTAAATTTGTCGGCTCTTGATAACAGATTGCGGCTTGTTTTATACATAAATGAAGACAAGATGAGCAAATATTTATAACGAAACAGTTGAGGCTAAATATCGATATTTATCGATTGTGAACAATTAAAAGCAGTTAACGCCAATATGTGTTACCATATGTTAGTAAGAAAATAATTTAAAATAAATGGGACTTTTGATAATCAATCTTCTTTTTTTTAATACTATAAATGATCGAATTGCTGATCGATAAATTTAAAATATATTTGTACACATTTTAAAGCTGTTGCACAGCTGTTACTGATTCTTTATATATGATAAATATGATGTGTTGCATAGCATTTCTGAATGTGTGCATACCCGCCTGTTACATTTGTAATGTGTATTTGGTATATAACAAGCGACCAAGCGACCTGACGCCCACCTTCCAGTTGTTGTTGCTGTTGCTGTTGCTGTGGTGTCTGTTACTGTTGTATTGCTTGTGCCATTCACTTTATGAACATTTCAGTTGCCAACGACAGCAGAAACTACAACAACAACAGCAATTGTCGCTTTGACATTTAACTACAATTACTTTTTAGTGGTCTTTCATTGGTTCGCGTGGCAGCGACATTTTGGTCTGTCTGCCCCCTTCATGCCACGCCTTGGCTGTTGTCCATATTGAAACTTGTTATAATTAAAATATGCACTAAGTTATTTTCTTCAAGGTGTTTGCTGGCAATTGAATGGAAAATGATTTCTTTCAGGCTATCTGAAAGTGCTGGCCAATAAATCAAGTCGGAGGCAAACAGAATCTGTGTCTGGGCCACTGTCATGCATAATGCGTACTGCCAGTTACAGCTACAATTTGGCCATAATTGCACTCTGAGCCCTGAGCACAGCTTCCATAAGGGCGCATACCATGTGGTATTTTAGTTGTGGTTTTAACCTGAACTTCGTGCGGCTTGTCGCTGCGGCTCTGTGCGGTTGGCGAACTACAACGAAAAGAGTGCCCAGCCATAGGCCATAACGACAAAATGCTGTAAGGTGTGGCAAACCACTTTAAATACCCTGCGAGAGGGTAGTGCGAATAGGTGAGGCCGGGAAGGAATAAGATAAGGAAAGGAAATACATTTAATTTGAATATGAAGAACTTCAAAGATGGGTAAGGAGATGTATTTCAATCGAGACTGATTGATTAACAATTCGATATTATTCTTATCCAATCATTCTCAAGGCAGAACATATATGAAAACTGTTTCTTAACACATTTATTTCATATAAGTCAGGGCACTCTTTTCTTATAAGCTCATCATATAGCATATCTAGTTGCAAGAGTATTCAGTTTTCAGCAATCTTTGGTACAAATTTCCTTCATCTTGTTTTGCAGCCCACATTTTGGGAGGCTGTTGTGGGCGTGGGCTTTTGTCGTTGGCCACAAATGCCGATTGCCCCGTCTCGAGCTGTGTGAATGTGGTGCTGGCTAACTGGCTTACTTCACTGATGTTGCAGTGGTTGGTGCTTTGTTGTTGTTGTTGTTGTTGGTGTTGGCTTGTGTGCACCGACTGTTCATAGCTTTGGCATTTACAATATTTAATCATATTTGCACGAGGGCGGGCTAAAATGTCGCCCTATGCCAAGGCGTTTGCAGAAACAGGCGCAACTTATGGATATTTAATGCCAAGCGCTGCTTGCGGCCTGTTTGACTCCGGCAGTCAAGCAGCGTGGCAGCAGCAGGCGGCATGTGGCATGCAACATGCGGCTGGCGGCAGGCGGCATCTACAGGCTGCAATTTAAAGCGTTTTCATTTTTTATGCATGCATTGCATGGCGTTTGTAGCTCATTTGCATGCGTTGTTGTTGTTGTTGTTGCTTATCTTCTTCTTGTTGTTGTTGCTGTTGCTGCTGCCGGCGTCTGTAATGCAATTTGCTGCAAAATGAAACCGAACAAACCAAGCGCTGAGC